CAATACAACTCAATCTCAATCGTCCATTTAATTTGATGAATATGTAATTTCATAGAAGTTTTGATCGTTTCCTAATATAAAGTATTGATCATAATTAATGAACCTTATTCATCTTCCATAAATATTTAAATCATAATAAATGAACTCTCATCATTTCCAAAAATATTTCAATTTATTGGGTTGCATTAGTTGTACAAATGCGATGATTTGCATTTGAAACAAACTCTCTCTCTCTCTCTCTCTATATATATATATATATATATATATATATATGAGTGATCAAATACAAACCACTCAATTTGTACAAACCGTGCAAATCTTATTCAACCAATCATAATTTTTCATTTTGTTCATTTTTTTTTGTAATTATGAGAGGTTGATTAATCATTTTTATTGTGTAGGGTGTTAATTATGAATATTATCATCTTCATTATTTTAATTTTAGAGAAATACATGAAACAGTTTCATTAAAATTTCATTAAGTATCATATGAAACAACTTCATAAAAAAGTATTATATGAAAAAATTTCATAAGTTAAACAATGAAATCGACGGATGAAGGTGGTTTGCACGGTTTGTACAAATGAGGACGATTTTCATTTGATCTCTCATCTCTCTCTCTATATATATTCAACAACATTCTCAATTCAAAATACATTGAAAAACCCCAAATGTAAATTAGTAAATTGAAGAAAAAACCAAATAAATCTACTCAATCTTGGATCAAATGGGTTTTCAAAACCATTGTTCTTGCCTTTTTTTTTTCTATCATTCAAATTAAATCACCAAGGGATAACAAAGAGCATAGAACCCAAACTCATTGAGTAGCCATATAAATTCTTTCCACAAAATTGAGGGTGGTCCTTGACTCATCTTGGCCCCAAGAGTCTACTTCTTATTTAGAGAGGGGCATTTCTATGTGCTCGTATATAGCAGTCGGTATAGATGAATAAAGGGGGACCGTTTAAATAAGACATTTTCTCTTAATGCAATATGCATCAAAACCAAATAGGAAAACACAAATGAGAAAATACAGGTTAATAAATAATTTTAAATTACATAAAACACAGAAAAAATGGATAACTCTGGGATTTTGTAATCATTTCATCTTGGATTTTTGAAGAAAAAAGAATCATATCAGGTAATTTTATAGACAGGAAACGTATTTTTTTTTCTTCTGGTTTATGAGAATAATCAGTTATATTTTATTATTGTATGTGCATTATTGAATTGCATGTGTATTATGAAAACTAGTTTGGTTAGGGTACTTTTTACATACCTTTTTGACTCCAATGGTTATAAGAAGTCAAGTGGTGTATCATATCTCTCCATCAAAATGAGGACAAATCACTAATTACCATGGCAAAGAAAGTGTCCAAATGTGAGGACAAAAATCCCATGGATTTACTCCTTGGCATCACCTTGTCTTTCCCTAAAAAAGCATTTCCCATGCAAAGCATTTACTCCTTGTGTTCCCCTTCTCATTATTTTAATATATATATATATATATATATATATATATAACACACACACACACACATATATATATATATAGTAGGGTTCAAACGAGAACATCTTCATTTTACGAGAACGCCTAGAACACTTTTTTACTATAGACAATAACATGTGATATTATTATTTCATCAGATATGATACATCCTTTTTTTCTATTTTGCATTAGTAAAAAACAATTTTTATTGTGGTAATTTGATTTTTTTTTTAAATGTTCAATTTGATATCTGAATTAATAAAAAAAAACGAGATTTAAAATGAAAAATAGATTTTATTGCATTAATTTTTGAAAAAAAACGAATTTTAGTTATTTTTCTATAATTATTTTGCAAGTTGGTTCCACAAAATAGGAATCAGGTGCAAGTTGGTTCCCCAAATGACAATTTTGAAAGTTGGTTCTCTAAAATAGAAATCAGGTGTAAATTGGTTCCCTAAAATAACGATTTTAAAAATTTGTTTCCCAAAATAAAAATTAGATGAAAGTTAACTTCAAATTTGGTACAGTTTTCTCTTTTTTTTCTTTTTTTAAGTCCAACGTGGTAAGATGATAATCTTATTTTATATATTTTCTGAATTTTACAGTCGATAATGTTCTACTTTTATTTTATGGGTATTAAAATACGTCCTACGGCCTCCCAACCCTCACGAGTTTCTTTTTTTTTATCTCTCTTTTTTTACTTTTTTTCCCCTTAAAAACCCCATTTAAAGATGAGTAATATATATATATATTAGGGTTGGGTTCACGTGAGACCAAGGGTTTTTCGTGAGACCCGTGAGATCAATTTATATTCATTGATCAACTTTATAAGCTAACGATCTAATGGTCTAAAATTGCACGGTGGCAATTTTGTAATTATTGAGAAATCTTGTGGCAATTTTATGATTATGAATATTGAGATTGTAGATCTAATCCAAAAAATTGGTCTTACAGGTCTCACAAAAAAACTTTGGTCTCATATAATCCCAAGTCTCTCTCTCTCTCTCTCTCTATATATATATATATAGAGAGAGAGAGAGGGGGGGGGGGGGGTGGAGGTTCAAACAAAAATACCTCCATTTTACGAAAATGCAAGAACACCTTTATCATATGTGATACGCGTGAGGGGACCCTGTGATGTGCAGACGACGTGTTTTACGACTTAGACCATGCCAAAGGTTGTTTGCGTCTATGATTTAGCATCACATGTGATGGTTTTGATGGATTATAGCATCATATCAATAACAATTTTATCACATGTGATAATATTTGTAAGGGGGCTTAGTGGTGTAAGAGCGATTTGGTCCGCAAACAAGATCACATCGAAAATCATCCGCGTCTTTGATTTAGTATCACATGTGTATCATATGTGATTGTCTATAGCATGGGCGGACCTACCTAAATATTATTTCTCTGTCGGAGGGTAAAAAATTTAGGTTTGTGAACAGTGCTACCGTATCGTTTTAGAATGTGCTACCGTATTTTTCTGAAATCCAAATAGTGCAACTAAAAAATTTAGGTTTGTGAACGGTGCTACCGTATTGTTTTAGA